TAAGCGAATTATCTGTTTTCAAAATTTTAAGAGAGAAGAAAATTGAAGGAGACGTTAAGAAACCTAAAAAAGGGGGTGCAAAGAAGAAATTAATATTAAATGAAGATGAGAAAAATGCAGTTTGGCGTACAGTACATAAATCATAGAATTTATATTTTGTTTATAATTTGTTAACATTTCTTGTTTGATAGAAAAATAACTTATTTTGTTGAGATTGGTAGAGAATTGTTGTTAGTGTTTTCATTTGATAGAATCATATCATAGGATTTATATTTTGTTTTCATTCTGTAAATATTTATAGTATATCTGTTATACAAGGTTTTTGCTTTGAAACTTCGTTCTCCTTATAAAAAAAAGAATCGTAATGGGGTGCGATGAAGAGATCAGTTCACGTCTGGAACCCTGTTCCTACAAAAATCCCTTTATTCTCATAAACTATTTGTTTTAAATGTAATTTATTATAAATCCAATTCGTTATTTAAATTCCACATATGTACTACATTTCACCTCTGTACGCGCCACTGTTTATTGTTCCTTGCTCTACGATCAAGCTCGCCAGGTTAGTATTTGACGTATAACCGACCACTTCGTACACTCGATGCACCTGGCCGACTACAGCTAGTACCAGAACACAGTGCGTATGCGGCGGTATTTCAGATTTTACATTCAATTTCATTTTAAATTTGAAACGGTTCATCTTACGCCTCCTAAAAATGATGACACGATTTTCCTTTGATAAAAGACCGACAATTTTTTGCTCTACTTTGCATCGTATACGATCGTACTATAGAATGACTTCACTCATCGTATTATATGTTCAATAATAATTTTCACATTTAACCTTTATTATGTAGCATGTAACGTAGGGACGATTCCAGAGTTTCTCAATAAGTTTCAAAAACTTTAATTATCATTAACTTTAAGCACCGTTTTGCGCAGTTATTAATAAATAGAATCTTACAACACTGTCACTACTAAATTTAATGTATAATACCAGAACCTTTTAAAAACTAATGTTATTTTTATTCTTCAGCTAAAAATGAAAATGAAACCAAACCAGCACCAAATAGTAAGTATCCTTGTAGACACATTTTTCTAAGAATCTAATTAGATTGGCAAGAAAATTAATTCTTTTTATTTTTTTCATATTCGGTCTAGCAACGACCAGTGAAGCGCCACCAGTAGGTAAGATTATTGTCAAATGACGTGAAACTTCGTAGATCAGTGCTGTAAACATGTTTTTTTATTTTATAGCTGAAGGAGAACCTGAACCACAGCGTAAATCAAGTAAGTTATGATCATTTCTTTTAACCTACATAATTTCACATGCATTAGACCCTTCAAAGCAAGAAATAGATGAGTTATTTGAAATCAGTAACATCCATCCATTTCAACTAGCGCTTCCCATTCAAGTTTGAACATTTTTGGCATCAGTAAATCTCTTTTGTACTTGTTCAAATCATATCTCCCCATCGAGTTTGTATAGCACCGCGGCTACAAATCTAATATATTTAATAAAAAGTTGCCTCAGGATTCAATAGTAAGATCACTCTTTTTTTTATTATTTTCATTAATCATATTATCACGTCTATTTTTGTTCTACTTTTTATTATGTTGCTTCTGTGCACATATCTTTATGAATTTATTCATCCTATAATTTTGTGTCCTTCTTGTTAGATGAAGTAAATGACATTAAATATATTAATAAACAAATATACACTGTGCAGTTCCAAACAGTAGTGGGATTCATGTTCTGATCTTGATCACGGTTATTTTTTTAGGAACGTCTGAGGAAAGGAGACGTTCAATAACCAAGACACGTAAGATTTTTTATTAATATTGGTTTAATTAACGCAACTGTCAAAATAACGAATAATAAATTATCCTCGGGACTTTTTCATTACGGAAGCTATTTTTTTGCTACATTAATTGAATTTTTGGTTTAATTTGCTCTCTCTACAACAGGGAAGAGATCCAAAGGTTCTGTGAAATATTCGACAAGAAGCTCAGGTGATATAAGAGCAACAGAAATTCCAGAGAGTACACTAATTGAAGAACCTGCCCCAGACGTTGAAGCGGAGCAATATGCTGATCCAGAGGCATAGATATGATTTATATATGAAGAGAAGTAAAATTTTTGTGATGTTTTGTTTCAAATGTAAATACTGAACCATAATTTAGTTTCAATAAAAAGACTTGATGTGTGATGTTTGCTGTTACTCATTCAAACAAACAGTTTGTGGCATCTTAATGCAGTCTACAAGGTAGGTACCTTTGAAGTTTTTCAACCAACTTTACATGTAGATGAGTGTGTCAATATTTTTGCAGAAGATTTTGCCTATTCAAAACGTTGTTGATAGTTTCAAAAGACAGTATTTACAAATCATCAAATTTTTGCTTTAAACCTTTACTTTTTGTTTCATACAGACTTTTTCATAAACGACTACAAGCCACGTGAGCAGTAATTTTGTTTGGAACAATAATTTTTTATATATTTTATATTCGCAATTAAATATCAGAAAAATTAAACATTACACCGGTACACACAAAAAAACATATTGCGGAGATGTAGATTCCAGTAGTGCTACTCATTTTGATGACAATAATCGATAAAAAAAGTCTTGGCTATATATATATATTTAAGGTTGGCCATTTTAATTAATAGAATATCAGGAACACAAAAAAATCCAAACCCAAAGATCTGACATATAATTTCCGACGTATTTTGACCAGTTAAAAACAATGCCGTAGTCAGAATTTACGCAGGATCGGCAAGTATCTTGTAAAATCTATATTTAGGGTGAAAATGAATCCGAAAATTGCTCAATCATAGTCCAAAATTGTTTTTTTTTCTACATAATATCTGAACATATCATTTCTGATGTATTTGGACGAGCCGAAAACGACCCCGTAGTCAAAATTTAAGCGTACTCTTCAAAATTCTTGTTAGATCTTTAAGTGTTTATACAAGGGCGTCGCCAGCCAATGGGCTGGGCGAAGGCAAGATAAGAGAAAGGATGGGAGAAATATACATTATAGGTAGAAACAGGTACAGTGAATTAATTTTTTTTTAGAAATATTTTTAACTTTTTTTTTGGACTTTTAAATTATATGTATTTTTTTAAGAAAGAATAGATGGCATTACTACATAACCTCAAATATGACGAAAAACAGTGTTTTTTGCACTTTTAGGTTAGGATATCTCAAAAACCTGACGTGATAAAGCAATTCTGCGGCCAGATTCGGATTCAGCGCACCAAAATCCTTCGGGAATGTATATTAGTGTGTCTGCTTCTTGACCCTTGTTGACCTGTGTAATAAATATTAAGTCTAAGTTTGCAGTTTGTCTATAATTTAAAAACAATTAAATACAAAAATTTAAGAATCGAATTCACAATTCAAGTTTAAAGCTATTGTATGTATTATTGAAAATATATAAATTTCTTACATTTATGGGTAAACCTACAAAATTAAAAATGTTTTTCATTCCCCCTATCTAAAATTGGTGCGTTACATATATAGCTTTAGTTGCACTGTTAAACTTTTATTCTGATTCCGATAGATAAAAATTTATTTTTTTAACATAAAATTTTATATTTTTAAATTCTTTTGTCAACAAATATTTATACTAATTTATTACAATTGTTTTAAAAAAAATAAAGTAGTGTATTAATTTTCAAAATTAAAGTTTTAGTAAATAAAATATTTTATTAAAAATTTCCAATCTATTATTTTCTTAGGTTAAGAAAATTTTTGTACTCTTCAAATTTCCAGGAGGGGGCAGCTGTCCCTCCCTGCCCCTCTTGACGACGCCCTTGGCATAATATATTTTACCCTCACCAACCCTAGCGAGCGGGGATGAGACATTTTTAGGAAAAATTTGTCGTTTGCTTAGTTCAGAGAGGAATAACGTTTCGACATAACATTTTCCTACCCCCACCCTTGATAATTTTTTTTCTTATAGTTATTAGGAATCAAAGTTTTTTTGTTTTGTTCGAATGTCATATGTCATTCGTTTCCTTTTTCAATTTTTGCGACTACGACACTTCCACGTGGTGATGGCGGGCAACTATTTATTTCGGCTAAGTTTCATATTGCATAAAAATGGACTGGCCAAAGAGTACTTTATATCATCCTGGTAAAATATAATCATTTAATTGATTTATGACTTGTTTGTTTTTTCGAATGACCTTTGTGTAAATTAAACTACTGTACGGTAGAATTCTTTACTGCATGGCTTCTACTAGAAGTGTACTGTGTACTGCTCCTACATTGAAAGAGTGAGAGGGAACATGGCTGTAGGGCCACATATCAATTAGGCATATTTACGGGAACACCAACATTTAAAACTTGGATAAATGAAACAGTATGTCAAAGCTTTGAGTAAAAATGGAGACTGTTTTAAGTTCTTAATTTGAAAAGTTTCCTCATCTTTCAGATCCAAAAACAAAAGGAATTTTTTGATGGTCCACAAGTACATAAAATGCTTCATGATAATTGCTTCATCGAAACTGTGAATACTAAAGAAAAAGATGTTTGGTTGAGTTTGAAGAAGTAGGTAGAGGTACGTAAAAATTTTGTTTCGGCAAGCTGAATTTAACACTATAGATGCTAAATATTATCTACAATAACATATTAGTTTCCACAGTCATAATAATAGGGGGAATATTGTTTACAGGGTGGTTAATTGTATAATTTTTACGTAAATTCACGTTTTTCGCTTATAAATTTTTTTCATTTATTTCCACGAGAAAACAGTAAAGTACTTTTCGTCTTCAAAAGACCTACAAAACTAATCCTCGAAAGACAAAAAATATTGATTAGATCAAAAGTTATAAACAGAAGAAGTTTATTTATGACTTTTGAATTAAACATTTATAAACTGCGTTATTATTACCAGAACGTTTTGGCATCGCATCCTCTCATTCCTTATCACTATCTACTAAATCACACGAAACCTGGAATCGGTAAGTTGAATAGTTTACAAGTTATGGCCTTATAAACAAATTAACTAATTATTAATCTGGACGATCCCGAGGATCTTCCATAATCGCACTGATTTTTTTCATGGTAGATTTCATAATAATATATTGAAATCTATAATTTTTTTTAATTTCAAATTTGGATTTTTTTTTTACTTTTTAGCCTTAGTTGCAAAATGAAATATATGACGCACCAGCGTGATATAGTTATATATTACTACATATTCGGAAAGCTTATGAAAAGAGCTTTAAGTTAAAAAAAGTCGTCAAGATTAGTTGAAAAACAACAGAGTTACAGACTGTCAAATATATTATTTTCAAGCGAATTTCGCTCGGCAAGACTATGAATATTATCGTAATTTTCTTCGGACTCGCTGTCGTTCGTTTCCCCCACCCTATCGCTGCGCCACGGCTCGCCGAAAATCAAGCGACCCACTGAATTTTGACAATATTTCTTATGCACTTTTTACCTGGGAAAGTACTCGGGTTACCGGTTATGACAGTATTTTTTTTGCCGCTACCAACCTAATTTGTTTAACAATAGGCCGTCAACTTTGACAGTCTGTAACTCCGTTATTTTTCAACGAATCTTGACCATTTTTTTAACATAAAGCTCTTTTCTTAAGCTTTCCGAATATATCACGCTCGTGCGTCGTATATTTTATTTTGCAACTAAGGCTAAAAAATAAAAAAAATTCCAGGTTGCAAATTTCAAATTAAAAAAATAAAAATGATAGATTTCAATGTATTATTATGAAATTTACTATGAAAAAAATCAGTGCGATTATGGAAGATCCTCGGGATCGTCCAGATTACTAATTAGTTAATTTGTTTATAAGACCGTAACTTGTAAACTATTCAACTTACCGATTCCAGATTTCGCGTGAGTTATTAGACAGTGATAAGGAGTGAGAGGATAATAATAGCGCAGTTTATAAATGTTTAATTCAAAAGTCATAAATAAACTTCTTCTGTTTATAACTTTTAATCTAATAAATATTTTTTGACGCTCGAGGGCTAGTTTCGTAGGTTTTGAAGGTGAAAAAAAGTACTTTACTGTTTTCTCGTGGAAATGAACGGAAAAAAGTTATAAGCGAAAAACATGAATTTACGTAAAAATTATACAATTAACCACCCTGTAAACAATATTCCCCCCATTTTTATGACTGGAAACTAATATGTTATTGTACATAATATTTAGCATCTATAGTAATAAATTCAGCGAAATGGTCATTTCTCAGCTTATATTCCTGGCCTATAAGAGTGTGTTTACCGACTATCGGCATCTACATGAGTAGCACTAGCAGAGTCTACATCTTCGCATTTGATTTTTTTTTGAGTGCCGGTGTTATTAAAATAATAAGATCAACATTCATGTTTTCAACAACATTCTGTTTCACAGGCTGGTGATTCTCACGAGATTTTATTCAACCAATCAGCAATCGCATTATCTCGAGCGTAAACGCATCGATTTGTCATTGTTAATTGTAAACGAATCAGTAACATTGATGATGCTAAGATTTAGGGATTTTTAGTTGATAGTACCAGTCGTGCAATGTTGGTTGCCTAAGGTTGGTCACGTGGCTTATAATCCTTAAAGAAGGCTGTGTATCTTTGGAATATTGCTTTCGCTCCTGATATATGCAACATGTTTAGTAATATTAATTGATGCTTTGAGTAAAACAGGACATATTGATAACATATTTATTGTTAGATATTTTACAGTCTATAATACAATTTAATGAAAACACCTCAAGACATTTTGTGCATTACAACAGAAATACAATGCACAAAAAAAATATTTTTCTCTTTGACATACCTTTTTGTTTGCGAAAAGGCCAACACTATGTACATATTTTTTAATTGCACTGTACCTTCATAAGATCCTATACACATAAATCCTTATATAATTATGTACAAATATAAAATTATTTAAAACAATAAAAGATTTTGTACTAAAATAAAAATTTGCCTTAAAAATAAAAATAAATATTTCTTTTATGTTGAACACGTAAATCCTATGATATGATTTTCTAATACATTTTGGGACATTTTTTTAACAAGCAGAATTGTATAGAATATAAGTATTGTTTCAACATTTTATCTAATAATATCTAACATTTATAATAAGAGAATTTTATTTTTATGGATAATCTTTTATACTTTGCTTTGGTGTTTTTATCCTAACAGTAATCAAAATGAGCAAATGCTTTAGATAATAAAGCAGCAATATAGTTAAAATTATTAAAGACTTCAAAGAATTGGATATGAATAGAGATGTCGCAATGATTAAATCTAAAATTTTAAATGACATGTTTCCTGTCCTGATTTCAGTCCAATTTATAATTCACGCTGTAGAGTGTTCCTGAGTATACTTTTGATTAATAATGTTTTTTATGTTTTATAACTTTACTGACATCCAATTCATTAAAATGAGATAAAAACTACGAAATTCTTGCAAGAGAGGTACAAATTAGATATGAAACATCTGGTCAATTTGTCTTTTAGTATCATTTTGTTTTAAAAATATAAAAAACAGCTTTTACAATTAAATGTAAATATATTCCTGTTATTCTTGTACATCTTGCACACCCTGTCAATAGTTTAAAGTTAGTTCGAACAGCCTACCATTTATAAAAGCGTCAAAAAAATTTCATATGTCACTGAGTATGTGTGGATGGCAAAAGTATTATTATACTATACATCTTCAGTCAATAATAATTTTAATTTTTTAATCGTGGTCCTATACACATTTTAAATAATATCATCACAGCATTAAAATCCCTAATGACTACAAATGAAACCATTAAACAGCAGGCATTAGAGATGTTTGGATTCGAATCATCTGTTGCCAGTTATATTTACAATTTTTACATTGGGGCTTCCATATTCCAGGCAACACTTACTTATTTAAGAGTAAAGATAATCATAAGACATATCAATCAACTAGCACCATTTCAATTTGACTAAATTCAAATAATTGCTTAATCATTAGCTGACACATGAAAAAACATTCTACAAAGCTATTGTTAGGGAATATCAAAACGGTATACCACGAGGACCAGCGCTAAGTCCACTTTGGCGGTGAATTTGGAATGTTTTCTGTGTCACCAAATAAAAACAATGTCCAGTTTAATATAAACGTTTTTGTTTTGTTTATATTAAACTTTCAGTCTCTTTTCAAATAATCGCACTGTGTTTACTACTGTGTTCAAGCGCCGCCAGAACGTCGTGCTTTTGTCTAACATACAACCTCCCTTTCTTCCAAGGATTCTGAAGTTGCAGCGGCTTAAAATCGTCTCTTAAACATCTTTCTCTGGCCCCTATAACAGCTACAAGGCAGAAATTCTTCAGTTTATCTGCGTTGTATATAGGTCCTTCTTTGCCTTTAAGAACTACTGCCATATTCAGTTGCTTGACAACCAAGTCAACAACTTCCCTTGCAGTAGTTCTTGGAGTCACATGAAGTTTCAAGCTAGTGCCACTTGCCAAACCTGTTTCATATGCAGCAAACACCTGGAGAATTCCACTCTGCTGCTCCTTGGAAGTTGATTGGAGTTGCACATCAGGTAATGGCAATTTGAAGAGATTATCTGTATGTTCCGATCTTCTAGCAGCATCCAAAGGCTTCAAGTAAGTAGTTGGGCCTACATCGAAATCAGTAAAGGTTTTTATGTTGGTTAAACTCTTAGACAAGCTTGATTCTAGATTGGAATGTAAAAAGTGAGGGTTTACATTTAAATGCTTCGGTCTTTGTCTGTCTGTCTTTGTATTAATATCAAGTAGGTGCTGTTTAACATTTGTCATACTTTTGGAAGGAGCCATCCTAGGTTTTGATTTGATTTTATTTGGAGTAGAAGACCCCATTGGCTGAGGATTTGAATCGCTGTCTGAACTTAAACTGTGCATGCTATCCGAAGTACCAGTATTCATAGTATTAACACTAACCAAACTTCCTCCATAAGGTAGAGGTCTTACACTTAGCAAAGGACTAGTTGTAGCAGAAACACTTGATATAGTAGTTGCCCTACAGCGCTGAGTATTGGAAGTTGTAGGTATGCCAAAGAGAGTATCTTCACTTCTCGATGGGGGTAAATGTGTGTTAAAAAAATCACTGTTATAACTGTCACTGTTTTTCCTGGAATCGTTATCACTGCAAGCACTGAGATATTGCGTGGACGTTTCGTTGGTACTCAAATGTTGCTCACTTTTGCTGAACTCATTGATGAGGTTACCTCCTGCTGTTATGCTGTTGGAACCACCAGGTCCAGGCCAAGAACCTCTGCCAGGTGTACTCTTCATCTTAGCGTCCCTCTGAGGGATCTGCAGCAAACTTCTCTTAGGACTCGTGCAAACACCTATTTCTTTTTCTAATATGTACCTCATGGTTAATCCGTTAGTGATTCTATCCCTGGCAAAGGTGATGACATCCATTAACCACCTCACACTCTTCCAAATAGTATTTAACTTTGCTTGTAAATCGTGAAGCTTGCTAAGTCTTTCTTTCGCAATAGCAACTTCACTGTTAGAGAAAGCCTCGCGATGTAAATGATTAGCGGTAGCAGCGTCTAGTTCCAACAAACAGCTTAGTTTAGCGTACTTCCTTATAATACTATTTTGGTAGGTGTTGAGATGGATCATTTCAAATACTTGTATAGGCAAGCTAAGCAAATCACCTCTTTGCAAGAGTATTTCCCGCTGGCCTGGCACGGAACAAGAGAATTCGGCGGAAGGACATATCACTATAAAACTGACTTCGTTCGTGAGATCAATAACTTCTGTGTCGTATAAGCGGTGGGTGTTGGCGTCTTCGTTGCAGATGTCCATGTAATTAAAAAGGCGTTTTGCAGCGCTGGTAACCAGCTCTAAGAAGGTTCGTTGGAGCTCTGTTGCGTTGTCTAAGACGTCTGGAAGGTGCTGTTGTTTCAGGTACTCCCACTCCTCACTGCAACAAAAAAAAACTCAATACTAGTTTCATCTTTTGAATGAGCAGTACTTACGCAGAAACGTGCGGATTATCCCTGATCTTACAGTGGGGCAGCATATTAGGCGACTTTGAAGACACCACTACTTGAATGAGATCCACGGAACTTTGCATTTTCAAATAAGCCAAGTACAGTCCCCTGCTTAACTTCAAACTAGACACCTGGTGGTAATTTATCTGTTCTTGGATACTGGCCATGAGTATTTCAGAAACACTGTGATCATCACTGAGCACCACTTTCTTAAACACTTTGTTCATTGGTAACCACCTCGAATTTAACACAGACACACTTTTAGGAGTCTTGACGTAATTTATAGTACTTAACACTACCGTTCCGTGAGAATCTCTCAGGGGTTTGTAGTAGAGCTGGCCGAGGTCTTGGAGACACAGCGACGATTGCATTTGGAGGGCAGCTGACAAAAGTTTGGTTCGGAAATGAATGGTCGACGAAGCGTTCTTCTCCATATCAGCTCGGAGCAATTTGATGTCGTCCCACGTACAGGCCACTTTCATCAGCCAATGGAGATCTGAATGGATGCAACTGGGGAATGTTTCGTCTATTTCTATCACAGGCAAGAAGTCTTCGTTTGTTACTAATACCTTATCTTCGTGGTACAAGATGCAAGCTAGGTAAATGCCCCTAAAAGGTAATAATCAAAATATGGCTGTTACTCTAAGATCCAAACTCACCTTCTTAAATTCTTCTGGAATTTACTAGCAGCCGTAAATAATTGTTTAATGGTAGTTTTCTTCCTCTGCGTTCTTCTTTGGGGGCCTTGCATTTCTAGGATTTCACTACCAGGTCTCACTTGCTTCACCGCATCCATGAGTTGTTCTAGTTGCTTTAGCCTATTATTGAATCTACAACAAAACGGTTAAAAACCTGAAAATATGATTATTTATGGTTTCAAACCTTGGTTCCTTTTGGTCTACTTTCCTCCATGTTGATGGGACAACAGAAGAAGGAATGGAGGTAAAAAATGCACCGTATCCCTTTAAGTTACCACAAGACGCCCTAAAAAAATATCTTCTACCCTGTGTCAGTTCTACTGTACAATTAGGATTAGACATATCTAATATCTCTTTCTCTCCAGTAATTATAGAAAAGTCTGCTCTCGTTGACCATTGCACTAAAACAGCAAAGATATATCAACACTATCGACGACACGGACGATATAACTACCTTTAAATTTCGTGGTAATTGAAGAATCCATTGCTGTCGGTTCTTGAAGTCTAACAGAGACCGTAGATGCCGACGTGATGTCCAAAGCTACTAAGGATGGCGGATCGGGAGGTCTTGCCTGAGTAAAACCAAGTACGAGTCTTTTTAGAGTCTTTGCTCTTCTTCCCCATGCCACAGCTTGCTTCTCTGTATCGCCACCAGCACACCCTAAAATGATATCACCCTGTAGACACCACCTTATCATTTCCTTGTGCCTTTAAAGCAAGAATGGCAATTGTGAGCTCTAAATTTGACTGACAATTTGAATTAATTGTTATCTAACTGCACCTATAGAAAACAAACATCACTAAAAGCAAATAACACTAAAGGTTTCGCAGTTTTTGACCGCACCTGTCATGGACGCAGCAGGGTAGGCGTTTCCAATAATGCTGGAAAACGAAGCTCTAGTATTCAGAGGTGCACCACAAGGTTCCTCTAGGAGGCCACCAAGTTCTTGCAGGCGCATCTCTGCTTCCCCTAAGAGCTGCTTCAGGTGCGAACCCAGTTTTTCTGTACTTGAAACTGCAAATAAAACTCTTTTATTGTGTATTTTAATAATAGAGGTAATGTTTTTAATAATTTTTGCAAACGAATAATTTCGCATTGCAATTTGGGTCGCCATCTTTTATTGGGGCGGCGAACAATACATTACATGAATGATTAACCAAAAGAAACAAAAGGGAAATTGCTGTGGCAAATTAGTAATTAAGGAGAAACATCCGATTTCAATTGAATGCTTTCGAGAAGAAAATCCCACGATTAAAAACAAATTAAAGACAAAGGGAAAACAGATGTTGCCTGAACAATGGCAACTCGGTAAGTTACCAGCTCTGTAGCATGGCTGTGACTGGAAGGTATATGAAAGGGTAATTTAAAATTTAATTAAATCCTATACTGTCCTGATTGTAACAGAAGAAAATAAATATATTTTTCGAGAGTACTGGAAAATCTGACTAATAAATTATGGCTATAATTTTAGTTTTCGCTATAACTTTGAAATAAAAAAAGGACTTTCTTGCTTCCTCGTAATTACATACGTTTGCTATTATACAGAGCTTTGCACTTTGCATAACAGGTATTGGTAACGAAAAATCCCTAAATCTGGGCATCACCAATATTAATGAATCGTTTACAATGAACACTAACAAACCGTTACGCCTATGCTCGAGATAAATTACTCGAATCACAGCCAGTAAACAGAATGTTGTGTTTTAATATAATCTTGATTTGTTTTAATAATTTCTAATTTTACATCTCAGTCCATTTTTTCATCTCAGTCAACAGTTGAAGATTTCTACAATTATTTATCTAGTGTTTATCAAAAATATAATATTGAACTAGTGACAACTTGAAACAAGAATATTCTACATACAGGGTAGCCCATCGAAAACGTACCGCAAGGCATTACAGGGTAGTAAAGAACTTTTCGGCAAAATCCAAAAACAGGTCAAATTTGTTTCTGAGGGGGACAACTTTTGGCTCAAAAAGCATACCAAAATCTTCAACCCCCTAAGTTCAATCCTTTAGATTTCCTTCTCTGGGGGCACATTAAAAGCAAAGTTTACAGCACTCCACCTGATACCTTGGAAGATCTGCGAGGACGAATCATTAATGTATGTCGCGAAGTAACACCGCAAGTGCTCCAGAATGTTCGACAACGGTTTGAAGACAACCTGTATCATTGTATGCAAGTTGGCGGACAACATTTTCAGCATTTACTTGACTAATACCGTAAGTTTTGAAGTAAAATTAAATCGATTTTCGCATTTCTCGTCAAAAATATTGTTCGTATTTTCAAAGCTGCATATTTTCTAAAATAATGGATCGATTTTCAAAAAGTAGCAATCGATGTATAGAGAATTAAAAGCCCTTTCTAATGACACCCCACTTGACCCCCATTCCCATTTAAAAAAATTTGGGGGATGGCACCCCCACTTAGGGGGTTGAAGATTTTGCTATGCTTTTTGCGCCAAAAGTTGTCCCCCTCAGAAGCAAACTTTACCTGTTTTTGGATTTTGCCGAAAAGTTCATTACTACCCTGTAATGCCTTGCGGTACGTTTTCGATGGGCTACCCTGTATAAAAGATATTACAGAGGATGCTACCACAAATGAAATAAAGAAATTAAAAAATTAAATGACATCGGGTACTGATGTCTTACCATGTTTTATAATTAAGGATTGTACTAGTGCTTTTTATGCACCCTTATTTTATATATTTTATATTATTTTGTCCACTAATCCCGATGTTTAAAAAGCTAGTAAATTTTTTCCAATTCTTACGAGTGGAGATCTTTCTTGTGTGAATAATTATAGAGCAATATCTATTCCAAATAACTTTGATAAGTCAACTATTAATAATCATGCTATTCTCATTCAGTTTTTATCAGAACCTTTAGAAGCGTTTAGACGTTCAAGGGCAAGTAGATATTTAGAAAGCATTCCACCAAAATGACCATTCTCTTTTAATTTCTAAACATTCATCAACTGGGTATACTTAACATTAATTGAATCGTACTTATTAAACAGGCAAGAATGTGTAGAAGGTGGCAGTTATACATCTAATAATTATATTTCTATATTTGGTGTTCCTTAGGGTTCAAATCTTGGCCCACTTTTAATCTCAATTTTCATTAATGATCGTAATTATGCCTTAAAACATTTCACTTGCTGTTTGGGCATGAATAAAAAATGATTGTAACAATGCATTACTAATGCTTTAAAAATGGTTTAGGAGATATTGTATTGTATTATCTTTTTTGTTTAAATTAGTTCGTAATTCTATAAACTGTTCGTTTCTTTTAAAATTGTCATTTTCGGTACCTAGGCAAAATTCTTGATTAAATAATACTTTTTATCGCTCTAGTCCGGTCAAATTAGACCAAAAAATAAGAGTGAAGGTACATAAATTTACAACAAGTTGAAAGTAAGTAAAATTGTTTAAAACATAATTAAAAATAACCTATTAAAATTCCTCGTCGTTCCGGTACTTGGAAAAAAATTTACTCGAGGTCAAAGGTTAACAAAATGGGTTTTTCGCGATTTTCAGCTAAACGGTAAGTTTTATCATAAAATTACTTCTGACAAAAATTGTAGATCATAAAATTATCTATAAAAATGTGTCAATACTTTTTTTCCTAAGAGCCACCGTTTCTGAGATATAACGATTCAAAAAGTTGTAAAAGTTGTAATCGTCATAATATGCAAAAGTACGCCACTGTAACTGTAAAAAGTGATGCAGTGCTAAATGTGGTTGCAAAAAAGTTGGACTGTCTTGTTCTCTGGCATGTACAAATTGTCAAGGCCGGTCGTGTTCTAATGTTGAATCACCAACAGTAGAGAATTCGTTTGATACCAACGAGGAGACATGCGATACATCACTATTGACGCAATTTACTTACACCCAGAATGAAGAAGAAGAAGAAGAAGAAGAAGAAGAAGAAGAATAAGGAGAATGATAAGAAGAAGAAGAGCCAGAAGTATTTGAAGGAATCTGACGAATAAATTCCACTACTTTTTTTTTAATTTCCATTGCTTTTATCATTTCCAACCCTTGCTAATATCTGTTATTATGCAATAGTTTCAAACTAAACAGAATAACAACAGACCTATGGAATAGGCCTACTGGGGAAACCACGTTTAAAAAACGTACACTACCTCATAGGTGGCGTGGAAACGTGAGCATATTATGACGATTACAACTTTTTGAATCGTTATATCTTAGAAACGGGTGCTCTTAGGAAAAAAAGTATTGATACAGTTTTTATAGATAATTTTATGATCTACATGTGATGTAATTTTATGATAAAACTTACCGTTTAGCTGAAAATCGCATTTTTTTTACCTTTTACCTTTGACTTCGAGTAAATTTTTTTCCAAGTACCGGAACGATGAGGAATTTTAATATGTTATTTTTAATTATGTTTTGAACAACTTTACTCACTTTCAGCTTGTTGTAAATTTATGTATCTTTGAATGTCTAGATTGACCGGACTACTCTTTTAATGGAACAAACGTTATGATGAAAGCACCTATCAATAATATGTATCATTTGTTTAATAATTTTCAAATATTTGTGATACTAATTGTGGTTCCTTAGATTCTTCGGTAAAAATCTGTTACCTTCAAAATATTCACAAACCGCCCCCACTCTCCTATTATCAGCGCTACTGAGGTAACTCAAAATATAAAATGGAAAATGTTGAAATTGACTTTTTTTTTCAATATGCAGTAAATTTAATGAAACTGTTTGAACTCAGGAGTTCTTATTCATCTCTCTTGAACATACTCGTATATAAACAACGACGCCAATGGCATTCTATTTTGTTTTCATTTTCTTTGTTCGTGACGTGGGAAAGCATTCCAAAGAAACTGAAATTGATAACATAAATTATATAGTAGGGAGAGTGGTAATTACTTTCTATACGTAGCCACTGTATGCCGATTGGCTAGATACTTCGCTCTTTGCATTGTCTTATTTTCTTACAACAATATTCATTTAATACGAGTTCTACTAAGCTCTTTCCCAGAATCATTTTGTCCTTTGGACTGAACCTGCAGTATTACTAATTACTTAGTTAATTGCCTATTAAAGTTTTAGATAGCACTCGAATTGAATAATGAGAGCTTCTCGGATAATTTTCGAATTTTAGATTAGGTCATTTCCAAGCTATGTGAAGTTAACATCGAAGTTTGTATAACCAATTTTTTTAAATGCAATTGATGGTGATGGTGGACATCTGTTTGTAACACGTCTATTTCGTCATAACATAAATCGATACTAAAGGCCAACCATATTTACTTGAATTTTTTATGCAATGGAAATTTGCCAGTTTCAAATTTAAATTCATCCCCCACCCCTAAGTGTTTGAGATGTACGAATGAAAATGAAAGTGGTACAATCAGGTGCTAACGATTACAAATCCACATCCGTTTCAATTTTTCCACCAGTATGTTTCATTAATATTGTATATTCATTCATCTCCCATCCCTAACTGTTGAGTTACGAATGAAAATAAAAGTGGTAAATCAGGCACTAATCATTAGATATCCACATTCAACTGAATTTTACAATAAGTTTTAATACTTTCTCAGTCTTAAGTGTTTGAAGTAAGGTACATTGAAATATTTAAGAGAATATTAGATATATAATCTTTCTGTTATATTCGCAATATGAATGTATGAATTTTATTATTCCAAGTGTAGCCCAGACAATAAACATTGTATACGCTATATAATCCTTAAAAGATTGAATTTTATGATGGCCGACGAAGCTAATAATTCTCTTCAATCTATGAATGTACTTTAGAAACAAAAATAGAAGTGGTGCAAATATGTAGGTACTTAACGGATACAAACGATTAACAAATGAATGATAACTTCACATACATAATTTTATTTCAACTGTATCCAATTATCGGCCAAATTTCAAAACTGAGGTAAATATTATTTACGTTACTTTCGAATCAAGCAGGAAGATAAATATCGCATCTAGGAGTTAAGAAACGAACAAACATATTTAAGCAAGTAATCAAATTGTAAAATAAAGACAAAACGTACAAGACGGTGAAGCTTACTTACACTGATTGCCCTCTTTGGCTCCAAAGCTAATAAGCATTTTGACTAACGGTCTATTGTTGCTCAGCACTGCAACGTCCAAAGGTGTCAGGCCGTCATTGTTTACGCTGGAAAAAAATTGAGATTAGTTTGGAACGAAAAAAAAAAAAATAAAATTTAATGTTGATTTTCAAGAAAGTATCATTTTCGATGCTTTTCTTATAGAAGTTTACAACTGTATACTTTTTATATTTTCTCATTTTTGTACTGATATTTTTTTGTCTTTTATCTTTTTGTGCTTTTTATATTGTTGCCTTTTCCTCCAAATGATCTTTTGCAGTGCATTCTATTTATATTTCTAATTTTTCCTCTTTTAACATATTGAACAGGGTGATTTGGAAAATGATACCATAAAATCTTTATTTCAGGGCCAAGAGCCTGTCGACCTCTGTTTTTGAGATATTGGGACCTTAAATTTTAGTCTAAAAATTTTCAAAAAATAATGTAATGCATTGAAATTTGGTACAGGTAAGTGTACAGGGTAATTCACTATATTTTGACCCCCCCCTTTAACTTTTTTATTTTAAGTTATAAAAAAATGTGAAATACAGAAGTTGCACGATTTTTTATGATTTTTTTCGAAAATCTTAGTAGAAAAACAAATGAAGTCCAAACAAAATGGCCGCGGATGTTAACTTTGTTAATTTAAATAGAACACCCTGTAGATTTTTGCATATTTGTATAGAACGTTCCCTGTCGAGTATAGTGACATAGGGTTTATTGGCTTCGTCTCTAACAATAAGCGAGATAATATTAAAAAGCGAAAAAAGTTTTTTACTAAGAAAATAAGACATCTTGTAACAATTGTTAGACCTCTTTCAGGCATTTCTGCCTTTTTTCCAATTACGTGAAGAATTTGGATTTAGTTGTAATATATTGACATGTCGGACATTGATACAGTCCAAAATGCGTATAATTATTTTAACTAAATCTCACTAATTAGACCGTGTGAGGTCAATTACTCATGGGCAATAGTCCACAGTACAGGCCCCCCTTGGAAAGTTGATTACCACATACTTTATAACTCCTGAGGTGCTTCGTTTTGACGAGTCTACCACATTTTTCCTCTACGACTTTTTTCGATTCCTCCGCTTTTCCACTCGGAAAAGTCTAAAAACATGGCAATTTCCCGGGGTCTTGAAAATTCAAGACCACATGTTTTATTTTTAGCTTAAGTAACTGGAAATTTTGTTGCGAATGCCGATTTAAATTTGTCCGACAGAAATTCCTCCGACATTGACGTGTCTACCGGTCGAAACATGCCAAAATAACAGGGTATTGAAAATCAATTACCACATAGGTAATTTTTAGTAAAATTAATTGTAAATAATTAATTCAGTCAAAAAGTATTGTTGTCCGACAAATTTCAAGCCGCGTTTTTTCAGTCCGACAGCTGGAAATCGGAATTTTCACGGGGTATGAAAAATCGATTACCACATGTCGGACAAAAATAACACACGATAGAAAAGTGTTTTTTATAAGCAAAAATTGTAATGTCCGACAAAAATATATCCGCAAATCGTCAGTCCGACAAAAAATGATGAAAAAAATTTCGTAAAAAATGTGCACATGTATTTATAATTTCTAATAAGGTATTTTCATGTATTAAGCAAAATTCCATATAAATATACAATACAGGGTGTTTCAGAAAGACCTCCCGTAAATACAGGGGGTGAGGACGACAAAAAATAAGAATTTTTTGTCATATGAACTATATGTCTATCTCCTCTTCTCAAAGCTCAAGCTTACTTTGAGAAAAGTCACTTATTTTATAGTGTAATATTGTAAGAGTTTAATTAAAAGCCTTTTTTCTCGAAAATCGTCCACATTAGGAAGTTCTAACAAGAGTACATTATTTTTAGAAAATAAAATTGTACAATAGAAATTAGAGCCCGACTGGTAAAAAACCTAACCTTAAAAAAAATATAACTTAAATTGTAATAAGAATGTAGCATAACTAGCGCTTTCTATGAAATATACAAAAAATAATTAGACTAGCGTATTTGGCACCCTTAAAAACCTCGGGCTACCAAATTTCATAAAAATATTTCGCACCATTTGGAAATTTTCATAAAAATGTTATTTAAAAAATTTTATTTTGTCTCTCTGTATCTCGAAAACAAGAGGAGATAGACATATAGTTCATAAGACAAAAAATTCTCATTTTTTGTCGTACTATCACCCCCTTTATTTACGGGAGGTCTTTCTGAAACACCCTGTATATATTTTTCGTTTTATTCTTGTAATTGTAAATCTCTATATGCTCAATTTAGCCAAATAAATATCGAGAAAAGAATTAAACGATTTCAAAAAAGTATGTATGGTGTAAAAAAATTATGCACAAAAGTTTTGGGATTTTCTTTTAGAAAAATAGGAAAATTTTTGTAAAGAAAAATAACAAACGCGAATGAAAACTTGAAAGAGAAAAAAGGATTTTTATATCAAGTATAATATTAATTTATTTAGAAATAATGCATTATGCACTAAGATCGTATTAATCGCCTCAAAAATAACTTCATTTGTTTATAACTTTTAAATTTTTAAGCATAAAATAAGCAATATTATAATTATTTATTTGAAACAAATAATAATTTACATAATAATAATTAATAACCATTTATAAATATGAAATTTTTGGAGTGAAAAAATTAAATTTCATCACGTTTATTGATTTATTGATTTTTTAATAATTTGCGGACATTAAATCGTCGGACACTTATATCACTATTTTGTACAGTAAATTTAAAAGTGGAAAAAATGAAAATTAGATATGTGGTAATCGATTTTTCATACCCCGTGAAAATTCCGATTTCCAGCTGTCGGACTGAAAAAACGCGGCTTGAAATTTGTCGGACAACAATACTTTTTGACTGAATTAATTATTTACAATTAATTTTACTAAAAATTACCTATGTGGTAATTGATTTTCAATACCCTGTTATTTTGGCATGTTTCGACCGGTAGACACGTCAATGTCGGAGGAATTTCTGTCGGACAAATTTAAATCGGCATTTGCAACAAAATTTCCAGTTACTTAAGCTAAAAATAAAAGATGTGGTCTTGAGTTTTCAAGACCCCGGGAAATTGCCATGTTTTTGTTCTTTTCCGAGAGGAAAAGCGGAGGAATCGAGAAAAGTCGCGGAGGAAAAATGTGGTAGACTCGTCAAAACGAAGCACCTCAGGAGTTATAAAGTATGTGGTAATCAACTTTCCAGAAGGGGCCTGTACTGTGGACTACAATGTTATAAGGTAGGTCGTGATAGTGACAGGTAGTAATGTCATGATAATATTGTTATTGATTGAGAGTTTGTATTATTATACATATAATTAAAATGCTTTACACAGAAGTAGAAAATTAAAATATTATTAGGAATTAAAATAGAATATGGAGAATAACTTACTATTTTAATTCTTATAATATTTTAATTTGTGTAACCCATTGTAATTAAATAATAATACAAACTGTCAAACAATGAAATATTTTTTTTAATGCAGGAAACTTAAAGAAGCAAAATTGTACCAAAATAACTTGATTTAAATTGGTTTATTTTGATCCAAAGATCCGGAACCCTTTATACTAAAAAATATAAGCTGGATGACTTTCAATTGCACTTCTTCAAAAAAGGTGCCTTTTCAGAGAATGAAAAAGTTGTATACCAAATTTCAATACATTTTCCTGTTATTCGGAAAAGATATAGTTGATTTTACAGTGTTTTCTTTGATACCCTGTATCTCAGAAACAAAAGACGATAGACCCTTAGGAAAAATATGCAATATACAATGCAGGAAATCTAACCTTAAAAAAGTTATATTTTAAAAATTATTTAGTATGCTCAAAAATTAACTTGTACCAAATTTCAATGCAATATATTGTTTTACAAAAAGTACGATTGATTGATTTAAAATTATCATTTTTTGACAATCTGTATCCTAAAAACAAAAGACAATAGACCCACGGCCTTACAGACATCTTCTTCAGCTTCTGTAACGTCTAATTGAACCATAACTGATAACTTTTCTAAAAATAATAAAACGAAACGATGGACAATAATATTCAATCCGTGAAGTAGTATTGTTAAAAATTCGGAAACTGGAAAGGGAAATCGATTTACAAATTACTTTTGTATCTGGAACTCGTAGCTAGTTAACCAGCTTTAATTGAGTATATCAGATTGGAAGCATACAATTCTATCTTTCTTTCTTTCTCTCCATGATGAATTCGATGAAAAATGTGCACTAGATGCTAAACCACGTTGCATATATATAGCCAACCATTTTTCCATGAACGATTTTCGTTGTTGAACATAATATCTATTTGACACCGAGTGAAATCAGAGTTAAAAATAGTCTATACTCTATACGAGGTAAATTAAATTGACTGAAAATAGTGAAAATTTTGTTTGGGATAATAAAATCATTAAATAGGTTTTAAAAAGTACATATTTCTACGTCAAAAGAGAACTCAATACGAGTATTTTCATTTTCAGAAACTATAGTACTTAGCTTCCCGCCGACAGTGCCGTATATAGGGGTGTCCCAAAAGAAACGCAGGATTTCATATGAGGAAAAAGATTTTATTATTCAAAAAGTTGGAAAAGGTTTTACAAGTTTTTTAACGGTAAGCATTGCCATTAAATATGAGATGATCCTAGATGTAACGGTTTGTCATTGTTCATTATAAACGAATCATTAATATGGGCTACGCCAAGATTTAGGCACTATCATTACCAGTACCAGCCCTGCAATGTTGGTTGCCTAAGCTCAGCGGTCACGTGCCTTGTAAACATTTATGAAGGATCTATCAAACCATTGTTTAATAAAATCATTTTCAGCTATGTTCTTAAGTTCACTCCATTCTACTACAGTAGAGTACCACGGTATGCTCTCGGATGTATTTATTCCAAAATGACCCGACCGTTAATATAGAAAGTAGACAGTATAGGTCCAAACACTGTTCCTTGTGGGACCCCACAAGTGATCAGAAAGATTAAACAGCGTTGTCTCTCAGCATTTTATTTTCAATATTTCGTCTTATTAAAATTAAATATTAAAATGTTTAGAATTAAAT